AGAAGAAGAAGAAGAAGAAGAAGAAGAAGATTATAACAGCAATGAAGACAGTTATAATGAAATCTAGCAGTTATTAAGTTCAAGGCAAACTTGTAGAGGACAGTTTTCTTTGGCAATTATAAATTCAATAAAGTTAACATACTGATTGCTTTAGATTTGTGAAAGCAGATCTTTTATAAGTAAGAATGACGTACATGCGGTATTTCGGCCAAAGAAGGGCGCGAAACTCACACCCTCAAATCACAACGCTTGAATGAGTAAGAACGATATGAGGCATAGTTTTGTGGCACTAAAATGGCTTTTTGTTTTCGGCCAATGAAAGGGAGAGAAACTCAAACCATCCAATCACAATGCTTGAATAAGTAAGAACCATATAAGGTATAGTTTTGTGGCACTAAAATGGCTTTATATTTTCGGCCAATGAAAGGGAGCGAAACTCACACCATCCAATCACGATGCTTGAATGAGTAAGAACCATATAAGGTATAGTTTTGTGGCACTATAATGGCTTATTATTTTCGGCCAATGAAAGGGCGCTAAACTCACACCATCCAATTACAACGCTTGAATTAGAATAGACATATTACAAACACGGTAGCATACCATTCCCATTCATACAAAACCTGCTCTAGCTAAATACAAAAGTGTTGTATTTACACATGAAATGCGAGGCATGTTCTGTTAGAGCTATCTCACTGACCAATTTCTACTTGTCGTCATTGTTTTCTGAGTCAGGGTAATATGCCAGTGAACTAAAACATCAACTTCTTCGCCAAACCGTGCACTAAAAATAAAACCATTAAGATTCTTTAGACTCCGTGTTTGTCCACGGAACTTTTCATGCTAAATCTCTCCCACCCGAGGAGGGAGAGGCAGATTTACGGACTGTTCCCTACCTCGATTCCGTACCTACACTACGCCAAACCCTTCCCAACAAAAATCTACAGAACAACTTTTCTTGAGGTCGCCCAATAAGACCATGCCTCATTGCAGAAATTGCAGGCGAATAGCAGTATTTTGGACCGTGTTGTGGTAGGTGGTACGGTGATCTATATAATTTGAGGTCCCTTCGAAGAAGGATCATAGCTGCTCTTACCTTTATCTCCATCTGCCCCTGAACTCAACTTTCGTTTAACAGGCTTCTCGTCTTCTTTATCTTTAGCAGAATTTTTCGGTCTTGGTAAGAATTTTGGCGGTGTTGGAGCCGGCTTGTTCGAAAAATACGGCATTTTTAGCGCCTAGACAAAACAAAAAAAAAAAGCAAATAAGGCGTTTTTTGTGTGAGATGGAGAAGGGGCAAACTCGTACGAAATCCGTTCTACGTAACTGTAAGGTTTTCCCATTTCAGACAGCGTATCATTCTCTTAAGAAGATTCTTTATTTGAGTTTATGTTTCTTTTCATGCGCAAACGTTTTTAAAAATAAATGATGCTCTAGGAAACGCCCGCCAAGTGGTCTGAAATGGGCGGGGCGGGGGGGAAGGCCCAATACAAGGCAAAGAGGTCTATTTGGAGATATAAAAGAATTGAGCTATTTGTCTTTCCTAAGCGAACTCTGGAAAATTTCAAACATTGAAACTAACTTTCAATTTGAATGAATAGTCCCTTACCTGGGTAGCATTGACTCTACCATTTGGATTACAGTCCAGTAATCTGTCCAGCAAGTCCAGTAAGTCATCACCAGCAGCGAAGAAGATATCCTTTAGAGGAATTCCAGGAGAGGATTTGAACTGGACATAATCTGGTAAAGATGACACACCCTGGGAAGAACAGAAAACTATTTGCTTTACTTTCATTGATATACCCTTCAAATTTTATTAGTACTTTGAAATAAACTCTAGGCTGATCTAAGTCTCGGCTATGCCTCATGTGCTTAAGCTGGGTTCTCTCATGCTCTACAGCTCCCAGTGTGTTTATATCACAGTACAGAGACATGTGTACATGTTTTATATCCCTTTAGAAACTATTCGGACAGTCATATGAACTATACTTACAGGCCATGTTTCTTCGCTTGGTGTCCCAAGAGTGTCAAATATTTTACTAAGTTGATCTAGATCGGTACTCCCCTGAAGAAATGGAACTCTTAAGAGAAGTTCAGCTAATATACACCCCTCAGCCCACATATCGACTCCTGTGCCATATATTCTGGCTCCGAATAATAACTCTGGTGCTCTGTACCACCTGGAATGCAATGCGGTAACAAAAAAATGAGTACAGGCGAAGCTTATAGGGCAAAAATTGTCATTTTCAATTAATGGTTCTATAATAAGGGGCACAGGTGGGTGGGGGGCAAGGGCGCCAGGGCTTTTTTCAGTTTGTTTTTATTTTTTGTTTTTTGGTTTGGTGTTTCGGGGGCAGTAACCTAACTTTGATCAGCCCAGAGGTTGTTTCAGGGTTCAATCTGTGAGTTAGCCGTGCCCTGACTTAGATCAGCCCAGAGGTTGTTTCAGGGTTCAATCTGTGAGTTAGCCGTGCCTGACTTTGACCAGCCCAGAGGTTGTTTCAGGGTTCAATCTGTGAGTTAGCCATGCCCTGACTTAGATCAGCCCAGAGGTTGTTTCAGGTTTCAATCCGTGAGCTAGCCGTGCCCTGACTTAGATCAGCCCAGAGGTTGTTTCAGGATTCAATCTGTGAGTTAGCCATGCCCTGACTTTTTTCAACCTAGAGGTTGTTTTAGGGTATTGTTAAAATTTGCACTTTTTTAGAGTACTGATCAACAGAAGGGATAAAAGATGTCTGTTGGCTTTCACTGATAACCGCCAAAGGAACTAAAAATATGTTTTGTCTTACCTTGTAACAACCTGATGTGTGTATACCTTTGTTGGACTACCATATGATCGTGCTAAACCAAAATCTCCTATTTTTAGAGTTCCATTTTCATCTAGTAGCAAATTGTTAGGCTTCATATCCTGTCATTAATAACAGATAGTTTCTGTTATAAACAACATTATTATTAGCAAAATCATTTATTTTAGCAATCATTTAAGGTTGCATAAAGCACTTGCCTGTCAACTCTGAATTCTCAGGTTTGATTCCTGCACATCACATATGAGTAGAGTTTGTTAGGTCTTTCCCTTCATTTGAGGATTTTACACTGGATTTCTGGTTTTTTCTTTTTTTTCAAAAATATCTAACAAGCAAAATTCTTAATCATCTTTGAGTTAGATGTGGCCTGACTTAAATCAGCCTAGAGGGCGTTTCAGGGTTTGATCTGCAAGATAACTGTGCCTGACTTAGATCACCTCAGAGGTTGTTTCAGGGTCCAATCTGTGAGTTAGCCATGCCCTAACTTATATCAGTCCCGAGGTTGTCACAGGTTTTTGATCTGTGTGTTAGCCATGACCTGAACTTGATTAGTGCATGCAGAAGTTGTTTCAAGGTTTGATTCGTTGGTTAACTGGGCCCTGACTTATATCAGTCCTGAGGTTGTCACAGTGTTTGATCTGGGAGTTAGCCATGACCTGTCCTTGATCAGTGCAGAAGTTGTTTCAGGGTTTAATCTGTGGGTTAGCTGCGAGCCCTGACTTATATCAGTCTTGAGGTTATTACAGGGATTGAGAAAGTTTCAAGTTTTTTTTAAAATACTGTAGCGTCACCTACTCTATGTAATATCCAGTGCGAATGTAAGTATTCCAGACCTTGTAATGTCATAATAGTAAAGCTCTTGATGTTTGCTGGAGTAAGTACAATACTAGTGTCTTTAATTAAAACCTACAACAGAGACACAAAACATGTAACTGATACCTTTTTTGTCTAAAATTATGCATAGTTACAGATTCAATCTCAGTCTCTTACATGTATGCATGGCTTTGAACAAGCTTCGATCAGGTTTTCTTAATTGGTAAAGAGCATGTTAAGATTTGGCTACAAGCAAAGGTTTTCATACAAAATTATGATTTTTAAAAATTCATATTTTGGAGAATTTTGAACTTACAGTATAGTACTTCCTTCAAGTTTCACCATTTTACTAAAATTTTAAAATGTCCTTTTTAGCTATAATCATTATGGTAATTATTTTTCTGTCCTGTGATTTTTGGAAACCCTTTGGAATAGGATGTTTGCATGATGACATCATTTGACTTCTACTACCAGAATCCCCCGGGGGGTACTCCCCTATATTCGCTATACGGGTATGTGCCGCCAAACAGGGTATGGTTTTCAGCGATTCTACTCTGGAACAGGGTATATAAAATCATGCTCGCTCTGGAACAGGGTATATGAAATCACGCTCTCTCCTCTCTGGAACAGGGTTTTCAGCGATCTTGCTCTGGAACAGGTACAAATTTCAGCGATTTTTACTCTGGAACAGGGTCAGGGTTCAGAGGGCTCAGCGGCACATCCCTACCCTAAACGGGCAAGGGTACCCCCCCCCCCCCCCCCCAACGCGCCCCCCCCCCCCCCCCCCCCCCCGGGCAGAATCCCTTGCACAAACTATTCTTATTAGAGGGGAAATAACTTAAAAAAATCAAAAATTAAGCAAATATCCATACCTCCTTATTGAACAATAGGGTCAGAACTCTACTATGGTGAGGAGGGTCTAAGTAGGGTATATGACTTTACTTTCTTAGGCGGATAGATGTTGATGACATTACACAATATTATTCTATCATTTATATTATATTATTATACCTCTAAGTCTGTTTCCATGAAATCAAAAACAAGACTGATGTTTGACTTATGACCAAATACATCTAAAAGCTGATAATAATAAATAAATAAATAATTGTTAGAATTTCTTTTGCTAATCTGGTGGTCAATATATTTATATTTAACAAAATGTTTTACCCCAATGATATTGTCATGCTTTAGTTCTTGAAGTAACTTAATTTCTCTCAAAGCAGTTCTGTTGATTCCTATAACATCAAACGAGGAAAACATTAACCATTTATTAGCTGGGAGCTGTCATTTATTTGCATGATCATAGATCCATGAAAAGGAAAAGAGGAAGTGGTCCCGAGGGGGTACTCCCCTATATTTGCTATACAGGCACTTGCCGCCAAACAGGGTATGGTTTTCAGCAATTATATCACGCTCACTCTGGAACAGGGTATATGAAGTCATGCCCTCTCCTCTCTGGAACAGGGTATCTATTTTTGCAATACCGGAAAAGGGTATGGTTTTTAGTGAATAACTTGCTCTGGAACAGGGTATGAATTTTAGTGATTTTACTCTGGAACAGGGTCAGGGTTCAGAGGGCTCAGCAACACGACCCTATCCTAAACAGGCAAGAGTACCCCCCCCCCCCCTCCAGGGAAGTGGTCAAAATAGTTGGGCCACAATCTCCCATATATGCAGGCTTATGGACCAGACATTGGCCTAGGGATTGCTTCTCATCTGCATGTCTGCATGCACATCCTATATTCATTCTTCAATTGCACTCAACATCATTGTGGCCTCTCGGGGGAGCATTAGTACCATTTAACAAAAGATTTCTTATTAGCATCCATTGTGAACAGCACCAATATGGCTGACATGCTTTTGTCTCTTAACTCTTAGATATGCTTGCAACCTATCAATTGGTATGCAATCTAATGTTACCAACATAACTGGATCTTATATCCTATTCTGCATCAATATTTTATTAACCCATTGCAGCAATTACCAGAGCAGCTCAAATCAGAAGATAAAACAATGTTCAATAATAATTATTATACTGTTTTAATAGTCCAACAAGTTAAGCTGCGTTGGGAATATGCTGCAGTACAGGTAGCTATTGAAAGTGCCCTCACCATCTTTTGCTTCAGCTCTGTTTCCAAGTTTTATCTAAGTTGGGGGAAAAATGTAATATGAAAAAAATTACACTTTGCAAAATAACACAGGGTTCCCATTACTGCATGTCAGTCCAACAAATGTCAAATAAGAATGAATACTTATTATCTTATAAACCTTACTTTATCCACTAAGACATTTTACAGCTAGGCTTTGTGTAACATAAAGTTAATGAATAAAATATTTGAAAGGCTTGAGGATTATATTATATACGTTAAGACTTTCACCTTTTTCACAGCTACAATTCGACCAGTTTCTTGGTCTTCTGCTTTAAAAACAGTAGCAAACTACAGCAAAATATAACAGAATTATATACAGTACAGTAAAATGTAGCATAAGCAAGCAAGGGCTGAGGCATTTACCTGTCCTTCGCCCAAAAAATCGATCTTTTTGTATCTTTTTGAATGTGCCTTGGATTTGCCCTCCATCTTGGAAAGTTTGACTAAACTCAACCACAGGTAACCCAAGAAGTGTATGGTTTACTAAGGTTCACTCAAAATTATAGAAATATATTTTAATAAAAAGGTAAAACGATAAAAACGAAATATAATGGTATTAAAGGACGGAATGAAGTAGCTATTTTAAATTATGAAATTCTAGGGAAGGACAATTTTTCAATTTTTTTATTTTTTAATTTTTTTTTGAACATCTCACTAAGTGTCTGTCTGTCCACTTACTAGTGCCAGCTTCTATACCGTTTCATTTTCCAAAATGGCGGACGTAATGGAGATGAGCACTTGGTCTGGTGAATGGGGCCTTCCTTCCATAAACGTTGCTTGTTTGGAAGTCATAGTAAGGCTTTATCTATTTATTATGGCTTAAATATTTGTATTTTGCTAAATTGATGTTGGTAAACTATTCAAATTCATGTTTTTTGTTTATCTTTATAGGCATATGCTAAGTTTTCTGGTTGTCCTATTAAGGTTAACAAACACAACAATCCATGGAAATCTCCAACATGTAAGAACTTAAATATCTGTATTTTAAAACTCCAATGCTTTAAGCGAAAGTTTAGTGGTTTAATATCCTTCCTTGAATAATAACCTCTGTCTGATCCAAGTCCTTTAAAACCTGAGCCTCTGTTAAAAAATCCCGGGGGTACTCTTGCCCGCTTAGGGTAGGGATGAGCCGCTGAGCCCCCTAAGCCCCGACCCTGTTCCAGATTAAAAATCACTAAAAACCATAACCTGTTTTGGTATTGCGAAAATGGATATCCTGTTCCAGAGAGGAGAGAGCGTGATTTCATATACCCTGTTTCAAAGCAAGCGTGATTTTGTATACCCTGTTCCAGAGTAGAATTGCTGAAAACCATACCCTGTTTTGCGGCACGTGCCCCTATAGCGAATATAGGGGAGAACCCCCCCGGTAAAAAATACATCAAACATCAAATGAAGTCATTGTTTTACTGCATAACTGTGAGGCTGGGGATCTATCTGTATATATATGTTTTATTCAGTGAGTTTATATTAATGTTTTTATTAAATCCTTGCATTTAAAGGGCAGCTTCCGGTGTTCAGATCAGGGGACAAGATTTTGACGTCATCACAGAAGATCATGGACTTTCTGAGAGAACAGGTGACTAATGAGATATCAAGGAGACTATGCTAGTGGGAATATTGTGTGGTTGGTTGGGAATTGAATTTCCAAAGTAGGGTATTATAAGTAGAGGATATGTTGTTTTATTTCCATATAATATTTGATGCCCCCCTCACCCCCCCACCCTTCCCCCTCATCCCCTCCCACCCTTCCCCCACCTGTAGAGATTGGGATCGGGAGGGACTGTGGAGGTGTATTATGGATGTAGGTATTGATGGTATGCATATCTCCCCTACCCATGCATTCCCATTGAGGGCAGGAGATGGGGTGGAGAGAGTTGGAGCCAGCTTGCTTACTTGATTTATTGAAGACCAAAACAGATATTTCAATTTATTTTTTTGACAGAATTTCAATGCAGATTATCAGCTTACAGCAAAGCAAGGAGCAGATACATTGGCATTCATGGCTTTAATTGAAGACAAATTCTATCCAGCATTGGTAAGATAAAAATCTTATTTTCTTAATATGTTAAACATGCCTTTAGTATCTACAATGATCTTAGGTATCAAAAAAAAAGATCTCAGGTATCATTGGGCAGCGTCCAGGGCCAAAGCCCCAGTAACCCCTCCCTCTTATTGATTTAAGTTTCCTTATGACTCTGTTTAGAAACTGCAGAAAAGTTGGTTATGGGGAGATATCAGTCATAATGTGGATTTTACAAGAGCACTCTACACCAAGAGACTTCACATACCTTTAATTAAGTCTTATCAYGTTTGTTTCTGCAGCAATATTGGTTTTGGGGAGATGGCAGTAATTATTCAGAGTTCACAAGAGCTCTCTACGCCAAGAGGCTTCCAATACCATTAAGTTTTATTATTCCTGGTCAAATGGCGAAAGTGGGAAAATATGTTGCTACAAAGAGTCTTGAGATTGAAGAGGAGAATGAAACAGCTTTTGAAAACAAGGTGTGTTCATGATAAGTTTATAAAAAAACAGGTTGCCCACACTAGTAAAGGAATCATGGCTGGGAGAAAGGGTGTGCTATGTGTATGCAGTATGCAGTGTCCTTGACTCAAAAGACTTTAAGGTACAGCTGCTCAATAAAGTCACATAAAAAGTTTAGAATTCTTGCCATAGTTAATATTAACTATGTTCTTACCAGGAGTATCCTGAGTTGGCTCAGAGTTATTCATACCCTAACTTTGATCAGTCCATCCCAGCTCAGGTCCCCCCCCCTCCCCCCCAGGTTATTGAATGAATAAAATTTGAAGGTTAAGATTGGAAACGAAGCAAGCTCATACTGACTAAATCTTTCTCTGAATTTTGTATAGATATTCAATGATGCTTTACAGTGTCTACAAAATTTATCCATTCAATTGGGTGACAAGCCATTCTTCTTTGGTGAAAGGTTAGTTATATTAGACTTTAAAATGTATACTTTCTTTGGCTTGCCTTTATTTATAAACCTCATACAAACTTGCCTATGCTTTTCTGGTACCTGGGCGGGGTACTCCCCTATATTCGCTATACAGGTACGTGCCGCCAAACAGGGTATGGTTTTCAGCGATTCTACTCTGGAGCAGGGTATATAAAATCGCGCTCTCGCTCTGGAACAGGGTGTATGAAATCACGCTCTCTCCTCCCTGGAACAGGGTTTTTAGAGATCTTGCTCTGGAACAGGGTATGAATTTCAGCGATTTTTACTCTGGAACAGGGTCAGGGTTCAGAGGGCTCAGCAGCACATCCCTACCCTAAATGGGCAAGAGTTATCCCCCCGCCCCGGGTTCTGGTACAATGTAGATAGAGGCAGCATTATAAAGACTAGCATGAAAACAGGTTTCCTTGTGTTAAGGAGTTGATAGCATTGCTGGCAATGAAGTGATCTGACTGCACAACCATCGAAACACAACTAGTATCAATATAACGATTGCCAGATTTCAAGTTGCACAATAAATATTGTTGCACTGTCTCTGATTTCACACGTTTCTTTAGTTATTTTAGTTTAACTTTTTTTGTTAATTTTTTAAAAATTGCAGCCCAACCACTCTAGATGCTGTGGTGTTTGCTCATATTGCTATTGTATGGAGAGCACCACCATTACCAAACAATAAGCTAAAGCTCCACCTTAGTGGCTTCGAAAACCTTATTGCATTTTGCAGCAGAATATTGCAAAGATATTTTCCCTACAACCCAGAAGGTACACCATAAACTAAGAAATAGAACAAAATATAACACAAATTTTTAGTGTTTACAATTATCTGTTCTTTTTTTATTTACTTTCATTCTAGTTTTTCATGTTACAAAGATTTCATTGACTTCCTTTTTTCTCCTGCCTATCTTTTCATTCATTTTCCCATTTTATTGTGTTTTATTTTCTCTTTTTTCTTGTTTCCTATAAACTCATTGTCTTTCATTTTTCTTTTACTTTCTTTTACTTCCCTAAATATTTTCCCATTTTTTGCAGTGCCTCTCTTCTTTCCTCAAACACATGCAGCTTCCTCTTTTCTCTTTTCCCTTTTTTCCTTCATTCATTTGTGTGTTTTGTTATTTTTTCTATTTATTTTTTCCTTTGCCAGATCCTCCACCAGAGACCAAACCCAAACCCACTGCTACAACACTAGATGAAGACCCTTATCAGAGACGTAAAATGTGGCTATCTGTTGGTCTTGCAGCTCTGGCAATGACAGGCTATGCCCTATTTAGTGGGCTTGTTCAATTCAATATAACAACTGAGGATGAGTTTGTGGACAAAAGGAACGAAGAACTAAAAGATTTTCCTAATGGTCACTTTAATGAGGAATATGAGAATGAAGAAGAATAAATGATTAGGAAATATTTGGATAAAACGTTTGGACCTTAAGAAGGCTATGTTAGGTCCTGGCTCTTTGTAACATTGTATATAAAAAATAAATTTACTTCTACCATTTGGAAATGAAGCAAAGATCTTTTTAAAATGTTTCTTCCCTATAAATTATAATTATTTTTCATTTATAGGCAGTGCATTCATAACCTTTCCATTAGGCAGCTCGCACTCATTAGCTTTCTCATGAGGCTGTGTGTTCTTGTTAACCTTCCCATCAAGCAGCTCACACTTGTTACCCTCCCCATGAGTTGGGTGCTTTTTTCCATCAGTTCTGCAAGCCCAATGATTTCGTGCCACTCTGACAAGTATTGGGTGTCATAACTAGGGAGTTGGGTAGCCTCTCTCCGTTTGTACTGCCAAAAACCTACTTAGACCAATCAGTGCAAAGCTACCCAAAACACAAGACAATGCCGCATCTGACCTGGAGTGGTCCGTAAACTGAGTCCAAATGTTGAGAGTTTTCTGGCAAGTTTTAAGGGGGCTCTACAATGCGTTCAATTTTTTCTTCGGCCAAAAGGTTTATTCATAAACGAACCTAACTCTACGTGGCGGGACGATTGGTTCTTCGAATTCCTCGTCAGAAAATTCATCTGGACTTTTCGAAGTTTTCCTGGATTGACTGCTGATGCTGTTAGCGTCTTCTTCATTCTCGTGCTTCATATGCATATCAGCAATCTTACGCAGATGATCCAGATTGTTCATGATAGTCTCGAAGTTTGCTTCAACATTTTGGTCATTATTGACGACTCGAGGATTGGCCTGAGACACTCCTCCTCTTCTGCCTTTAGAGTAACCACCGATTGAATGTTCAACTATGTCTGCCCCGAGTACCTCTTCCTGGTACGATACTCTCAATCCGATCGATTTGTTGATGAGGAATAAGATAACCAGTGCCATAGCACCACACCACAACATCACCACGAGTACAGCAAGCAACTGGACACCAAGGAAAAGAAAATTTCCAGTTTTGAAGACGCCGCCCTTGAGCTTGGTTGCACCAAGATTGGGCTCTAGTAGAAGCCCAGTTGCGATCATGGCCCAGATTGCAGGGAACATATGGATAGAAATACTTCCAATGGGGTCATCGATCTTCATCTTGTCTAAGACTCTGACTCCATAGCAAGCTATGATTGCACCTATTGCACCGATGAAGATGGTCTCCCATGGTTGAGCCCAGCCACAAAACGCTGAGAACAAAAATAACAAACGTGAGCCTTTCTTACATGGCAACCATGATAATCTTACAATTACAAGTGCTTCAGAGTAATTTAAAGTGCAAAAACAAAGGCTTTTTGGACTCATGGCCAAAGGCGGATCCAGGGGAGGGGTGCAGGCGGGGTGCACCCCTTCCTGGTTCCACTTTGTGCCCCTACTTCGAAGATAACCAATACTTTTTTTCCCCTTTATCTTAAGGGGTGCATCCCTCCCTGGGTTAACTTTGTGCACAGCACCCCCTCCCTGAACAAAATCCTGGATCCGCCCCTGATGGCAATATGTATGTATGGGTAGTCCGTGACGAAAATGTGCAAAGTACCTGATATACTAACTAAAGAACCAAGAACACCACGGATAAGGAACTTCACATCGAATTTACGATTTTTGGTAACGTAACTATAATAAAGAAAGAAAACATCAGATAAATGTGAAGCACATCTGGTGATGGATGAAACTTGAATAAGAAAAGAGTACAAGAACGAAATACCATGCTAGTTGATTAATAGAAGAACGTACTCGAGGAGGAGTATGAAGAAGAAGAAGAAGAAGAAGGAAAAGGAGAAGGACAAGAAG